GCCTTCTATATAAGAAGATATAAACAAAAGCTTGTCTTCTTAATATATTGTGAACAGTTTTGTTTTAATACAAGGAGAAACTTCGTTAACAATGTCTAATATTTCAGATTATCGTGTTATAAAATCAGATGGTTTTCGAAATCTGAATCGGTTACAAAATTCACAGTCTTTTAAAGGATTTATGAATCTTTCATTAATATCAAATGCATCTAATGCAGCTTCTTCTACAATTAATACTAATCATAGTACAAGGCGACAAACTTTCACCACTGGATCAAACTCTGGTATTATCAGGTACTAATTTATTCCAATATATTAATAATATCAATAAAATGATTATTTTAGATATCATGAACAAATAAATCAGAATTCAAAAATAAGAGATCCAATACGACGACCAAATTTAAACGAGCAAACTCAATATTCTAATAACCATCGTTTCTGTACAAAACGTCATTCTACGACATTTTATACATCATCTGAGAGCACGTAAGTTTTAATTTAGAATAAAATATAAATAAAATCATTTAAAAATTTGTTAGATCAATTAAAAGATCATGCTTACCCCCTGTTTCATATCCTACACTTACTAAATTAATCGATAAATCATCAGATGACATTCTTGCTGAAATGCTTCATCCAAATTTTCAATTAAATAAATTTTTAAATGATAAACATATGCGAGAAAGATATGATTGGATTTATTCAATGACAAAATTACTTGAAAAAACGACACAATGTATTGGATCACGTGAACGTATTCTAATTGTCTTTAAACAATTACCTGATACACGTTATCTCGAAGGTGTTTATGATGAAATTAAAAAATTTGATCCGAATACAAATGAATTACGTTTTAAATTTATTGAATTATTTCTTAAAATATCAAATATATTTATTGATATGATACCTCATTCAGTTAATGGTTTATCAAAAATCTTTGAACGTATCGAATTATTATTTATAAAAAATAAATTTGACTCACATGTATCAATAAGAGATTGAATCATTTATTTGACTCATTACATTTTTTGTTTTGTAGGAATTCGAAGATGCTAAACAAATACTAGATGAAGTACTTCAACGAATAAAACAAATTGAACAACGAGAACAAAAACGACAAGAATTACTAAATCTAACAAATTGTAAAACAATTATTAAATATGATATTAATCAACCACCTGAGAATTATCGTCATTTATCCATAGTTCCTACCGTAAAAGAAATTTTATCTGAACAACAAACATATCTTCGAAAAAATATTGTTGATGGTGTTTATGAAAATGCCGAACAATATCTTGATGTAAGATTTAATTAATTAAAATATTTCACATTATTTTTTTTTCTTAAGATTCATTTTCGTCTTTTACGTGAAGATTTTGTTGGACCATTACGTGATGGTATTCAACAATATTTATCGAAAATTAAAGGAAAAAATTATAATATACGAATATATGAAAATGTTCATTTATATGGTTCACGATTAACTCCACAAAATGGAATTGTTTATGATTTACTTTTAGATTCAAAAATAGCATCAAGAATATATTGGTCGAATAGTCGACGTTTAATTTATGGAAATTTATTACTTATTACATTTAATAATTTTCAATCATATGTTTTTGTCACTGTTGAAGATCGTTCACAAATTGAAAAAAATTTTATTGTATCAGTAAATTTGATTTGTTTTTTTATTTATCTTTTTTTTTCTTCTTATTTTATTAAATTAGGTTAAAACATTAGAAAAATTTAATCAATATGAAAGAACTCAAATTCATCTTGATAAAATTGATTTTTCATGTTCATTAACAGTGATTGAAACAATGACATATTTTCAAGCATATGATCCAGTTCTCAATGCATTAAAACAAATACCTTCAGATTATAGATTTCCACTTGCTTCATTTATTCTTAAATTAACGAAAGAAATGGTACCACCAGATTACATTAAACCAACAACAACATATGATTTTACACCACTTCTTGTTCATCCAGATTCAAATATTAAAACAAATCATTCACTTCATAAAGCATTACCACATGTTCCGTTAATGAACTCTATAATTACAAAAGAATTTGAAATAAATTATGAACAATCAAATCAAATTGAAAATAAATATAAAAAAATTTCAGTACTTAATAAAGATGAATGGCCAACAAATGAACAATTACATCTTAATTTAAAACAATACGAAGCTTTAATTTTAGCATTAACAAATAAAGTTGCACTTATACAAGGACGTATGTTAAATAATAAGTTAGTTATCTGAAAAAAATAAAAAAATTTTCTTTTTTTTTTTAAATTAGCACCAGGAACTGGAAAGACTTTTCTTGGTGTACGTATAACAGAAATGCTTCTATATAATCGATCAGTTTGGTGTCCATCTGATGAACAATCAACACCAATTCTTATCATTTGTCATACAAATCATGCACTGGATCAATTTTTAGAATTAATTGTAAAACGTTTAAACATACAAGAAGGTTTTAATAATAATTTTATTAAATTAAATTTATTATTCAGATTATTTATTTTAGGTATTATTCGTGTTGGAAATCGATGTCAAAATTCAAGAATTCAACATTTTTCATTAAGTAATGCACGTCAAGTTGCTCGAGAGAATCGTTCTATACCTAAAGATGTCTATCATGAAAAACGTGAATTATTAGATGAAAAAATAGAGACTGACTGTTTTTTAAAATTACAACAATATAAAATGGATATGTCAAAAATAAATATAATACCTCTTTTATCACTTACTGAGTGTTCTATTATAAATCATAAACATTATATTTCATTATTAAAACCATATTATGGTTGTATGACAGAAACAGCATTATTAGAATGGCTTGGTCTTGGGAATCAATGTGAACAAATACAGAATCATTTCATTTATAATGAAAATCTGAAAACAAATATTTCACAAATGGAAATAAATGATTATATAGAAGAAAAACAGACAACAGACCAAGATGAAGAAGAAGAAGAAGAAGAACGTAGACGAGATGAATTTGATACGGAAGAATATCAATATTTTCCTTTATCAACTGTTCTAAAACCTGAAACAATTATAGGAAATCCCATGGATATTGAAATACTATCAAAAGATAAGTATAACAGTGAAGGAAAATGGAAAACTCCACCAAACAACTCGAATGATATTCATCGATTAATTCAACATATTATCAAAGATCCTACAACTCTTAATGATAAAACAGTTAGACAAATAAATGATGATATTTGGCAACTTACTATGGATCAACGTTATGATTTATATCGATATTGGCTTTTTAAATATCGACAATATTTACGTTGTTGTATTCATGATGGAAATAAAAAATATAATAAAACTGCATCAGCTCTTATTAAACATCGTCAAGAAGAAGATTATCATATTTTAAAAGATAGTATTATTGTTGCTATGACAACAACATGTGCTGCTAAATATCATACAGTTTTAGAAAAACTTCGTAAGTAAAATTTTTTTCATTTCAATTAAAAAATTTATTTTGTATTTTTAGAAAGTAAAATTGTTATTGTTGAAGAAGCAGCTGCTATATTTGAATCACATATAATAACTGCTTTAAATACAAATTGTCAACATTTAATTTTAATTGGCGATCATATACAATTAAGACCTAATCCAAGTGTTTATCGTCTTGCCGTCAAATATAATATTGATATTTCATTATTTGAACGTTTTATTAAAAATAATTTTCCAAATGTTCGATTAAATATTCAAGTAAAATTCAAAAGAAAAAAATATTTTTAATAATAGAAAAATAAAATATTTTTATTTAAGCATCGTATGCGACCAGAAATTGCTCGTCTTATGAAACATTTTTATGATGATTTAGAAGATCATATAACTGTTAAAACTGATCGACCACCAATACGTGGTGTCGATAATAATCTATTTTTTATTAATCATGATCATACTGAAACAACTCTTAATGATGGAAGTTCTAAACAAAATGAATTTGAAGGTGAATATGTCATTAAATTAGCAGAATATTTTATTAAACAAGATTATAAACCTTCACAAATAACTATACTTGTTATGTATCTTGGTCAAAAACAATTTATTGTTAAACAAGTTAAACAAAAAGGAATTTTACATGGTGTTAGAATTATGGTATTATGCATTCATATTCATATTTAGAATTTTATATTATATTTTTTTTTTAATAATAGGTAACAGATAATTATCAAGGTGAAGAAAATGATATAATTATATTATCATTAGTACGCAGTAATTTAGAAAAAAAAATTGGTTTTCTGAAAACACATAATAGAATATGTGTAGCTTTATCACGTGCACGTTGTGGACTTTTTGTTATTGGAAATATTAATCTATTTGCAGAAGTTGATGAAAAATGGAAGGAAATTCTTAGAACTTTATCGGAAACAAATCATATTGGAAACGGTGAGTTAATTATTTAACCTTTTGAGTCTCGGCAACGCATATTTGCGTTCGAATGCAGTTATTTGACAAAGATACGTCTAGTATATTTATCAGTTTTTTGAAACATCTTTATGTCATTTATTAGGTGATGTCATACAAGTAGAATCCTTTTTCTTACCTTTGTGCTCACTAGGATTAATACAATTACTTTTTCTTCATTCTTTTTCTGTATTGATCATCTATTGTTCTATATAGTAATCATTGGTTAGTATATATTCTTTCGAATATGGTATTATATAACGCAGATCAATATTTTTTCTCATCTATCTGATTTTCGGCTTGAAATAATTGGAGGAGTTTTGACAAAATAGAGTCCGGAAAGATCGATCATTATTGGAAGATCTTTGATAATAGATTCTTCTCTTTGTCTAATTGATTGACATTTTCCTTCACTTATTCCACAAACATCACAATCAAACCAACTTCGAAGAAAATGCGTGATTTGCGCGTCGTATAGTATTCTATATAGTACATGATATATTTGTTCTGACTGTATGAAACTACTAATAATCTTTTAACACAAAAATGTACTCTCTTCGTAAAGAAATAAAGATCATCTTTAAAAGTTTGATAAAAAAATTTTGAGTTTCATAAAAAAAAAATCCGGAGCTCAATGGGTTAATTAAAATTCTTAATTCCATATTCTATTCTTAGGTTTATCTCTTTGTTGTCGACAACATTCAAACTACAAATTTTTAGCCGATAAAGTTGAATCTTTTGCACAACGTCCACAAGGTGGTTGTAACAGAACATGCGATGCTCGACTTAAATGTGGTCATACTTGTCAATTGCGATGTCATAATTATGATTTAGAGTAAATAGAGAAATGATCATTTTTTTTTCAAAATCTTCTGTTTTTTTTCAGGCATAACGATATTATTTGTAATAAAAAATGTAATGAACGGTTATTATGTGGTCACTCATGTGCAAAACAATGCCATGTTGAAACACCTGATCAGCATGGTTCATGTCGTATTCCGATTGAAAAAACAATTTCAGAATGTGGTCATCAAATTTTTATCGAATGTTGTAAAACACCAACTATCAAGGATTGTAAAAAATCATCATTAAAAAAATTAACTTGTGGTCATATTGTTGATGTTCCATGTCGTATTATTCCATCATCATATGAATTCAAACGATTTCCTTGTCCAAGACCATGTGATACTATTCTTGCTTGTCAACATAAATGTATTGGAAATTGTAGAGATTGTCATACAGGACGATTACATGTTCCATGTGGAGAAAAATGTGAACGTCAATTAATATGTTCACATGTAAGTTTATTCAATAAGAAAAGATTTCTTTATCGTATTATATATAGGTATGTAAAGTATCTTGTGCAACTAATTGTCCACCATGTTCACGTCAGTGTGAAATACGTTGTGTACATTCTCGATGTACAAGAAAATGTGGAGATATATGTACACCATGCAAAGAGGTTTAGATATAATATGTTTTATTGTTTATTATTAATTAAAATTTTAATTTAGCAATGTGCTTATAAATGTAGACATCTTAATTGTACTCGTTTATGTTCTGAACCATGTAGTCGTGGTCCATGTAATAAACCATGTAATAAGAAATTAAAATGTGGTCATTGTTGTAAATATATATTTTCAAGAAAACAATTTTATGTTTTTAAATGTTTTATTTTTAAATAGGTATTGGTATATGTGGTGAACCATGTCCTCGAGAATGTCGTATATGTGATAAACATATTGTAGAAGAAATATTCTTTGGTTCTGAAGATGAGCCTGATGCACGTTTTGTTTTGTTACCTGATTGTAGACATATATGTATGTTTTGATTTATCTATCCTTATAGAAAAATTTTCTTTTTTAAATCGTAAATTAGTTGAAGTAACTGCACTGGATAAATACATCGAAAATTTTATAAATGATTCTGATAATAAAATAGCAATTCGTTTTCCTGAATGTCCACGTTGTCGACAAATGATTCATCGTTGTACACGATATACGTCAATTATAAATCAAGTACATAATTCAATATCTCAAGTTAAAAAGAAAATCTTGGGTAATAATTCTAAACAAGAAAAAAATAATCGACGAGAACAATTAATAAAAGATTATAAAAAAATGAAAAAAAATTTAAAAGAAATTCCTCTTGATAAATCCATGATAGATTATTTTGGTAAATTATATGACAAAAATAATTTATTTTCTGATATGTTAAATTTAATGGAAAATACTATTGGATTTATTAATGAAATTGATCAACTTTTAGTTGATGGATGTGAAAAATTACAAAAAACTATATTGGAAGATTTTGTTCTTTTTCCATTACGTCATATTGTCAAATATTTATTTAAACAACAACAACAACATTATAGAAATTTTGCTGAACAACAATTAAACGATATTCAGTCCGAATTAAAACGTATTCGTCGAGTTATTTATATTGAAACTCTCGTTTTTTCATTAAAACAAACTTTAAAAGAAAATGAAAAAGAATGTATTGATTCTATGCTTTATTTAACAAAAAAATCTGGTCCATTTACTGATCAAGATCGACAAAAATTTGATGATTTAGTTAAAAAATTTGAATCTTTAAACAATTTACCTGGTTTAGGAATTAATGAACGTGAACGAATAGCTATTGTTAGTGCATTTAATTTGTCAAAAGGTCGTTGGTTTCTTTGTCCAAAGGGTCATCCTTATATCATTACAGAAGTAGGAATTTTCTTTAAAAGAAATTTTTTTCTTACATTTGATTTAGTGTGGTGGTGCCAATCAAGAAAGTCAATGTCCTGATTGTGGAGAACAAATTGGTGGAAAAAATCATCAAGTATTAGCAACAAATCGTCATTTTGGTGTAATGGATAATTCAGAACATGCAGTTTGGTCAAATGAAGCCAATTTAAATTTACGTCATGCACTTTTTTGATTGATTGTCAAATTTAGTATTTTTTATTTTATGTTTTCGTTCTATGAGTTCGTTTTGATTGTTTTCTGAAATAAACAAGATTATAATTTATCTAAAAAAACGATTTATGACGAAAACAAATTATTTTTATCTTTCATATGGTAAAGGAGGAGGGACGGTTTGTGCACAAAATGGTCCTAATTGATAATCGCATCTAAAATCATTTTTACATTGAAATTCGTGCTTTGCCCGGCAAGCCTATACTACCATCGACTCATGTAGATCATTCCTATGAGCTCTTTGAAGCGTATTCAAGCAGCTTCCGTCTTGGTTCTCCAAGAGTAGATCTCTACTACTTAATTACATACTAAGCTAAGCAACTGCTAGAAAATTATGCTAAAACATGTAGTAAAAGTTACTGTACTTGGTATTTTCTTAACGATCACTCTGTCAAAAGCCTATGAAATACCCAAGGGGGAAACAGCAGAGACTTCAGCCGTGAAGTCTCATGTAGTCTTGAAAGTCTTTCGAAGTCTTCTGAAGTCTCTTGAAGTCTTATGAGGTCTCACAAAGTCTCTTGAATTCACTGAAGTCTCAAAAAGTTTTATGAAGTCTAATGAAGTCTCATGAAGTCTAATGAAGTCTCTTGAAGTCTAATGAAGTCTCACGAATTCTTCTGGAAATTTTGAAATACATTTAGTGCATGAAAATTCATAAGAAACCAATGAAATTGTCTTGTTTTCGATGGTCTTATTTTAGCAGAAAGGGGAAGTTTTTATTTTGTTTTCAATGTTCTGGAAAAAAACTCAAGTTTGTTGGATCTTAGAAAACATAATAGTTAATAACTGAATGCTTTTTGAATGAAGTGATTTATTTTTATAAGAAATATGTCCATCTATTCCATGTCGGTCTTATGAAGAATTTTATTCCTTTTTGTTTGTTTCTATCACTCGTGATAATCTATCAGCCGATAAACGGCTAGCCTTGTCGGTCAATAACCAACAAGCTGTTTGCTTGTGTATAAAGGGTGTGGGTGGGTGTGGGTGTGGGTGTGGGCGGGTGTGGGTGTGGGGTGTGGGGTGTGGGTGTGGGTGTGGGTGTGAGTGTGGGTGAGGGTGAGGGTGAGGGTGAGGGTGTGGGTGTGAGTGTGGGTGTGGGCGGGATGGATGTGTGTGGGTGTGGTTGTGGCTGAAGGTAAGACCCACACCCACACCCACACCCACACCCACAACCACATCCACACCCTAAACTTCACATTTTCCATACGATAAACAAAGGCTCAATTATCTTTTGTTCATTATTTTCGCTATCTCAGATAACTCATTCGATTCTACTTGAAAAATTGAATCCAATGAGCATATTTCGAAATGTCTGAGGATAGCAAAAGTTAATTGAACATCTGTTTGTATTATTGATACTTTAAGTTGTAGAGGAGGAGGCAAAGGTTATGTGATCCCATGTATATAAATATATATATCCAACGATTGTTATTTTATTCGAAAATTTATGAATTCTGCAAAAACTATGTTTTTCATTTCCTGTTTAATATTGATGTGTACCAATTCGTTGAAGATGTTCTATTCGAAGTTTTGATCATAGGTCTTGAATCGATTGAAAATCGAACATAACAAAGAGGATTGTTTCGTTTTACTCTATCACTAATTTTAAGTTGAATGACTATAATACATGAAAGCAGTCGCAAATGACCAAAGGAATGCATTGTGTATTATCAACTTCAAATTCCATAGAAAAACTATTCGCAAATCGACTCATGAGCTATATAAACAACAATCAAATTAAAACTGTAGATAAGGACTTGATTAACGTGCGAGTCTGACTCCATTTTTGTTTGTTTTGGGTCTTGTATTAAAACAGTACAAGATTAATTCAATCCAATTGTATGTTTAGATAGCAGAGATCGAATACTATGTGTACACATCTATTCGATTCGAAAATTCTTGAATATGAAATACAATAAGAAAGACAAACCTATAAAATGGTATTGCTGTTACAGGATACTTTCATAATCAATCGATCGCGGGAAATACAAAGTTCATTTTTTCAGAGTTTGTAGAGCTTTTTCCACTGATTATTTTTCTATAAGAGAACATTTTGAATTTTATTTAGAAACGACGATATTAGAAATAAGTGTTCCAAAATGTTTGCAACATTGGCTATTTTACAAATATAAAAAAATCTTGAGTTTTTTTTTTCAAAAGATGCGCCGCTTGAATCAAGTAGTCGATCTCTACTATCCAACTATACTATTAAATTAATCTTGTGCAGTTTTAATATACGATTCAAAACCAAAAAACGAAGGTCAAACTTTTGACCTACACTTTATATCATGTTCTAATATTTAATAACAGATATGTAAACAATGAAAGATTGAATATATATCATTTATTCCCTTACTTATGGGGTTTTTTCTACTAATTTTATTTTCGAAATAGTATGCTGGACACTCTAAGAGTATTCCTACTGATCATATTCTACTGTAATTCACAGTACAAAAATAGATCTAGTCTACGTTCTGACGATTTGTCAGAAGCGAAGCGCTATGTCCATGGATAAACGCCTTCTTTTGTACTATACTTTAATGTCCTGCTTTGATTGCATTACGAAAGCCAAACTTTAATAAAGCGCAAAAGTCATAATTATAATCGAAGTCACTCGAATTAAAGCTGAATCAGTAGCCAAAACGTTAATTGATTATTTTGATGAATATCTATATTCGACATATGGAAAAAGATTAACAAAGAAAAATTAATGTTAATGAAAATTTCAAGATGATGAAATGAACAATTTTCTTTTTTAATTTGTGATAAGTGTATCAGCTTTTTTGTACAAGTATTTAATCTTGACGGACTTTCGATGCATAAACACTCTTCATGAAAATGAGGAAAGGTGTATGCGCCGTCGCATAAAAAATTCTTATCGAAAATGATCGAGTTGTATTTGAAATAAGAAATTTTTCTGTATTCTAAGACAGAAAATTGTTGAATATAGATGTGATTTTACGATCCAGAAAGAGAATATTCCAATTATTATGTGCATTATCCTATTCGTAGGGATGATTGTTTCTCTTTTGGCATATATCAAGAAAACACTGGAAGATTGAAAATTTTTTTTCTTGATCAAATTATTAATCGATATTGTAAAAGAAGAGCCTATTAATAAACATTTAGTGCTTTCGATCTATACAAGAAATTATTATTGCAAATTTTAGAAATAATACTTTGTACTAGATGAAGAAAAAGCCAAGTTTAAGTCAATGAACTATTAAATTAATCGAAAGGTTCAATGATGGGATTGGTTCGTCTTTTTTTCTCAAATCGAACTGATTTCAAACTCAAAGAATTAAAGAAATTTCAAAAGCTTTACTTTTTTTCTAAGAATATACCTTGATTGAAGACATATTTAAAACGTCAGTAATCATTCTAAAAATGAACAAGACATTTGTCCTATGACATTTTCTTTTTCAGAATAAAAGAAATTTTTAATGATAGAAGACTAGTTTATTTTCAATGGCTAATCATTTTTTGTTTTGTTTTCATCAAGGTAGTAGTTTTTGTTGTTGTTCAGTGCAGATATATGTAGACTAAATTTTCTATGTTACATTCATTGTAATATTAGGCAATAGTTGATAATAATTATTTACTACCTTATTAAACACAATTTTACTCTCAGCTTACAAGATTTATATGACAAAAATTGAGAAAACAATCTGTCTCTTATTTCAAAATACCATTTAAGTGATATTTTCGTTAGCTCAAATGTACATTGTTATATTTCTCCTTGAAAGTTTAAAAAATAAAGTACGATAGCGAAGTAACACTTGTTTATATATATATATATATATGAGTTCGATATACTGAAATGCAGTCTGTAAATGGGCACATTGAATGAAACTAATGAGTAGTTGAGTAAAAATAAGAAATTTCCTTCACCTGCTTTATCCAGTCTTAGTGTATATGATGGTCTCTTTCACGAAACTTTATGTTTGTAAAATCTTTTGTTTGGATTTGAACTATCATCTTTCCTTCTCTTTTATGTACTTTTTTTTTCATGCATATCAAAGAGAAATATAAAAGTGAACTACACGGAGAGAAGTAAAAAATTGCCCTTTACGTGCAGCATAGACTATTTTATATATTGAAGGTGACCTCTAATATATTCTTTTATTGGAATGTCCTTATATGTAGAACAGAAAGAGAGAGTGATGATTTATTGAAATCGTTACGGCCAGATAGGAAGGTGAAAGAGAACGAAAGAATAAGAAAAAAAAAAGATTGATGTTAGAGCGTTCAAAAAAAACTGAACATATTTAAATATATATTTCAATGGAAATCGGTTCCATCACTGGAAAGGTTAAAACATTAAATTTATTATTTTTATTTTGTTCGACACATTAATCATTATTGACAATATGAGTTTGACATAGAAATTATTATAGATCATTCTAACACAAAAAAATTATACTGTACTGATATATCCGTCACGGATCACTGCACTTCCTCTTTGTTTATATATGTGTTGAATGTGCACATTATGGAGATGATCAACATCATCACCTAGCGTGACGGTAAGTTATTCCTTCAGTCTGTCATATCATCACTCCTTTTATTTATTATTACGAATAGGTGTCACCAATATTCGAAGTATCTCTGATTAATGCAAATGATTTAATTCATAAAAGTTCTTTTAATTTATATACGTGAATTACGCTGAAGATTTTTATTTGATAGTTACCCAAAGTCTAAGAAGAAAGTTTAGAAAATTTTTGTTCTTGAACATTTCTCCTTTCGTTTAGGATAATAAATAGGGAACAATATATTTTTTTTCTAACGAAAAATAACAAGAGAGATGGTCTGATAGATTGGAGGAGTAGCTGACCGCAACCCTCAGGAATGTTGTTTATTAAACCCCCTTCCCCTCACAAAAAGTCGATTTTCATGAGAACTGTCAAAATTGAGAAAATTTTCAGAATTCCAGAGAATCAGTTTTTTGATATATCCAAAAATCTCTTTCGTTTTTTCTCATATGCGTATCCCAAATTTCTCTGTAATGGTTCATCCTTTTTTTGAAATACCTCTTTTCTTTAGTCAATAGAAAGTCAGTGATATGATTTGATTACAATTTTTCAGTCATTGAACTTGTAACCTCTATTTTGCGATTCAAAAAGAGCGACGTAGTGCCCTGCATCTTGACACGCTCTTTCAAATGAATACATTCGACGAACCATTACAGAGAAATTTCGGTTGCCAAATTAGCTATTTTTCGACCTTGTTCGGTCAATGAAATAGTTTTGGGCTGAAAATTTACTCACCTTAATGCTCCTAACATATCCTCAAAATTTCAGCTCATTCCAACGTTCTTGGGTCAAGATCTATTTTTGAGGGGAGGGGGCCTTAACTACTATACATCTCTAGAATGTATCTATTCCACATGCAATACACACTTATATACTCCCGGAAAGCAAAAGTTAGTCACTATGTTTGACTTCTTTTTACACTCGAAAAAACTAATTATATCATTTTATAGCCCTTGAAATTCTCTATCATCCCATATATTTATGTGTTGCTTTGCATTGATCTGTTAAAAAGTAAAGTGAAGAACTTTCAATTGACAATTTCGAAGACACACTGATTTTTTTCCTATTTATATTCAAGGCAATATATTTCTATAAATGCCGATAGAGACTTTCGAGCGCTATCAAATGGTATAATTATTTTTTTCAAATATAAAAAAGAGATCAAACGTAGTGGATAACTTTTGCTTTCCGGAGGTATGGAGAAAAAGCTGTTAGCGCAATTCCTTGCGGAATTAAAAATGTGAAACACGATGTAGCTGCTATAGTCGATGTTCTAAAAGCTGTTGTTTTTTATGCATACTGATGCATATTTCTTCATGATAGTTTACTTTACATTATATACTTTCATCAGCATAATACTGCATATATGCTTCAATCATATGTGAGTTATGCATCATCTCTGATATTTCCTTGAAGTCTTCTATCAGTCTATAATGACCCCTGAGTCCTGTCTGTCACGGTCTGTGACGGGTCCAAAACCTATCTGTCACGGACTGTGATGGGTCCAGACCCTGTCTATCACGGTCTGTGATGGTAATTAGTTAATTACATAATAATTAATTATATAGTAATTAATTAATTAATTAAAATGTCTGTCACGGTCTGTGATGGGTCACGTGAGCGTCTGTCACGGTCTGTGGGGGGAGGGAGGGTGGGTGCAACTTTCTACCCCTAAACACTTCAACACTCCTTTCAGATCGTGTTTCACAAAAGAGGAAGTGCAGTGATCCGTGACACATATATCTACACGACTATCTTCAATTTTAACATTTAACATACATATGTTCATCATATAATGAAATAATATTCTTTAAAATAATCAGAGAGCACTTATCTTGTTTCTCCGAACTGAATCAACTTTTCTCTGACTATTTAGATCATACACTTCATAAAGATGAAACTCGAACGATCGATCAATAAAATACTCCTCGATATCTTCAAATATCTTAAAAGTATTCATTTACTTCAAGCATTTTCAAATCTCAATTCTCGTTTTAATAACCTTCTTATTATTCATTTTCGAACTCATGGTCTTGATTTACGATCAATATCCAAACATGAATTTGATACTCTATGTCAACAAAATCTTCCTTCAATTGCTAAGCATATTACTGGACTTCGTCTTTCGGATGATGATGATACACCAAATCAAATTAATTTATTTCTTTCTGAATCGTCAACACTTCGTCAATTTGTTCAATTGAAAAAATTATCACTTTATCATATATCTTCATATGCAACCATTCAAAAAGTTGTCGTTCAACTTCGTTATCTTCCTCTTCTTACTCATTTTGATTTAATCAATTGTCATTTAAAATTTCATCAAAAAACATTGCATGAGATTCTCAATCGTATTTGGCTTTTACTAGAACTTAAACATGTTCATCTTGATTTGAATTTTGTCAATGCAAATGAATTTACTACTCCAACAATTCGATCAAAATGTATTGAATATTTAATTATTGAAAATTCTTCGTTAAATTCTATTCAATTAATTCGATTATTTCGATGTACACCACAACTTCGACATTTAACTATTATAATCGATCAGTTGTCTAATGATACAGAATTTCCATCTAAAATCGAATCAATTTCATCATTAAAACTTGTTGTCGATCATTTAACTAATGGAACAATTACTCTATTGAAAAATGTGCCTAATTTAACTTCTTTAACTCTTCAAATTGAAAATAATCATATGAATGGTCATCAATGGAAACAATTAATTATTGATTATTTACCAAAATTAAAAATATTTCAATTTGTTATGTTATGTAATGTTAATAATGAAGATGAAATGAATGAAATGTTTGATTCATATCGAACATCATTTTGGGTTACGGAACGACAATGGTATATTCGATGTCATTGGAAATCAGAAAATAATGAAATCGCTATTTTATTATATACTTTACCATATGCTTTACAGATTTACAATTGTCTCTTCGAAAATGCTAATGGTCATACGAAATCAACATGTCCGAAGGAAGATAACTATTGTTCTTATAAACGTGTAACTAAATTACTTCAACATTGTCCAATATCAAATGATTGGTTTCTCTCTCATATTCGTTTTTACAATATTCGACATCTTGAATTGACACTTCCAGTTGCTGATCAAAATTTGTCGACTCTTCCTCGACTCGATCGATTGATTTCTCTCGATATATCAAGTGACGCTGATGCTGATGGTACTATTGTTTTATCTCAATTGCAAAGTATTATTAATCAAGCATCACGTCTGCAATATTTAATTATTGGTCATTGGGAGTCATCAAGTGTTCAACAACTACTATTACATATTACTAGTGATTCAATCCGTCGACTCGATTTACAAAGTTATCATTATGCAAAACGTGATCGTTGTTTCAACATTGAACAATGTAAAACATTTCTATCTACACCGCTCGCTAAACAATGTCAAGTTCTACAAATTGTCGTTAATGATAAATTAAGTACAAATGAGTTAATAAATGGAATGCCCAATCTTCAAGCATTGAAGGTGGTGTTTCAACCTAGTGATCGAAACAATCATTATCCCGGTAGACGAGTTATGATTAGATGGTTGGCATCTGGATTTTCACGTACTGTTACAGAGAACTTAATTGGTACTGAAACTTCTCGATTTTGGATTCGATAATAAATAAATAATATGTATGTTTTGTTGTTAGATTTGAAAACTTTTTGTATTCAAAAAAAAAAAACAAAATTTCAACAAAACTTTATCAATAAAAAGACTTTTTGATGTACGACATAAACAATAGAATACAACTTCATTTTCAATAGAGGGTGTGGGTGTGGGTGGGTGTGGGTGTGTGGGTGGGTGTGGGTGTGGGTGTGGGTGAGTGTGGGTGGGTGTGGGTGTGGGTGTGGGTGAGTGTGGGTGTGGGTATTAGCACAAGATAATAACACATACCCACACCCACACCCCACACCCACCCATATCCATACCCACACTCACACACGGTCCGAAGAAGATTTTTTGACTGCAGATTTAATTTTATCTGCCAAAGGAGCACAACTCGCACCAGAGACTATCGGGAAAATACAATTCATTCACGATAACTATTCTATGTTCAAAAAATAAATAAAAAGTGACTTTATTACTGTTTCAGTTTACATCATGCGTTACGTTTGTTCCATTTCAAGTCACTTGTCATGAAACAGTGTGAACTTTTTGAATTGATGAAAATAAATCAAAGTATAGCGAATATTTTTTATAATATAAAAAGAGATCCGTATGCGAAATGGAGACAACAGTATAATTCTATGAAAACGGAAAGTATAACGTTTGTAAGAAAGGTCGGAATTACCAAAGGATTCGGTAAAATGACTTTCGAAAAATTCTACCGCCGCCGCTGATACTTTTGAACTTTTTCGCTGCTGTCACCAATCGAAAGATCGGCTAACATGTCTATTCTTCACGTAGATTGGATATCCAGTTTCAGCAATGTGTAAAACTTTGATTCATTCCAAAAATTTGGCAGCATGTTTGGTCTCACTATTATCATTTATAACACCATATATACTGAGTAACCAATTATTCGTCCCTGAACATTCACAAAATTCTTAATAATTCATATGGAACATCTCGGTTCAAACAGTTTAGAATGGTCTTGCAACTCCTGAATCTTGTTTTTTCGATAGTGTTTTTTCTTGTCAATCTTAATTGATGATTCTGATAGTCTCTAATTGTTACTATTTAAATTTTAGTTCATTACGCCGAAATGTTTTTCTGTACTAAAAAGGAATTCGATTCTTTTTCCGATAAAATAGTTTCATTGTTTTTTTAGATATTATTAATTCGTCTTGTCGGTTTATAAGCTTCAACGAGTCGTTTTTGACCACATTTATCTATTCACCACTAGACTTAAGTACGGAGAACTTGATTGTGAGGATGTGAGTGTGGAGTGTGGCTATCGGCGAAGAGAAGATTCCAACCCACAGTCACAGACACGCTCAATCTCACATCCTCAGTCACATTACTATTAAACAATTCGCGCATTTGATCGAACCAAACAAAACAGCTGCTTCTTTTTCTCTTTTTCATGAGCAGCAACGACGAAGTAATGTGAGTGTGATGCATGTGTGTACACTTATTCTGGATTGAAGTGTGAGTTGTGCCACTAACGTTGTGAGAAAGAAAGAAGACATTAAAAAAAAACATCGAAGCATGGTGATGCTGAAGTGAGCGACAACAAACACAATTGAAAGCTTGCCTGTTTGTGTACGTCATTGAGATTAGCATCTCTGTTTGCCATCTTGAATGGCTTCAACATATTATGACGATGCCAAGCGTTTTACCTCTCGTGAATCGATTGGAGCATCCGAAGAGTATTCAAAACCAGTGTACGAACTCGAACCCGATCCATCTGCAAAACAATTATCAGCGGTGACGCCACATCCATTCAGTCGATCGATTGAAGGAATGACACCGCACGAAGTGGTGCCCACGACCCGTCGTATCATCATCGTACGAAATACGACAGATCCACAGGATGAACAAGGAAAACCGATTGACACGAGCGTATCTAGCCAATCAAAATCACTGGAATTTTCACCGAGAATAACTGATGGGGTGAGATTTTGAACCTGCTTTTTTATTTGTTCTAATGATTTAAAGAATGTTTTAGCGAACATCTGTCTATATCATTCGACGAAAGATTCCACCGGAAGATGAGAAAAATCCAACAAGTTATTATCCACCGGTAGAAGGCTCAGTGCAAAATTCATCTACACCTCTTGAATACATACACACACCTCCTCCAAATCCATACTCTCTTGGATCGCGCACGCTCAGTCCTTACCATTCACCGACTAAAGATCCTGCACAGGGTAAGCAGCCTCCTTCTACTGGGAGACATTCACTCAGTGCATCTTATCATTTAAAAGCTCTTGTTCCGAGTCAAAAGGCTCTTATCTCGTCCACTTCATATCGGTCGACTAGTCCTCAACAATCGTCGTCCAAGCGTAATGCGTCCAATAGGCAACTTTTTCCGTCTTCGTTCGTAGGAAAGGAATACGAAGGTAATTAAAAATGTTGATTAATTCTCTGCTAAATATATCCTATATTGTTCATGAAGAAATTCACCCTCCACGAACCAGACTGATACAGACTGGAACGGCGAACATGCAAAAGTCACCACAGGCGAAGAGTAAACGACCAACCACTCGAAAGTCAGCTGTTAAAAGTATCGATCAAAATCGATCCGTCGGCCCACGAGTTAAGCCAGTCAAATCAGCCATACTTGCCAATCCCGAGCTTAATACTGTAGCTCTCATCGACGACCCGTTTCGGAGAAGTGCAACGAACAATGAAACAACCAAAAGTTTGAAGTCCGACAAGAAGATCTACTTTAAAGAAAAACAACAGCAGGTACGACATGACCGATTTTCTACTCAATCGAATCGTCAGTCCACACAGAATAATTATCGACCCCTACAACCCGATTCGCGACCGATCAGCATATCAAAGGACATAAATGAACCATCGTCGCGTAGTAACAATATGATCTTTGAAATTCCGGAATGTCTTCTCCAGAGAAGACAAATGTCATCTCAATCACACGAACACAAATTGAAACAAGTGGTTAAAGGTATCAATAACGTTATTGAAGAAGCGAAAAAACGACACAATGGCAATATACCCAATAAAGTCATAGTTATAGTGGATGATAATAACGCGCGAACTACTTGAAAATAGCCTCATTTATGACGATCATTGTCCTTATTCGTACTCTGCTTCTATACAGACCTATTTTTCATCGAACGCATCATTTTTTTTGTTGATAAAGGAGGAATATCTATGTAGCGGTTCTCAAACGAATTTGATCGTAGACGTATTTTTTCCTGTGAATATTGATGTTAAGGTGAGTCAATTATCAAGATAGCCTGACGATATGAGACCATATAAACAATAAGGGGGTGTGGGTGGGTGAGGTGTGGGTGTGGGTGGGTACGAGTGTGGATGTGAATGTGGATGTGGGTGTGGGTGTAGGTACTAGTTCAAAAAACATAAACATCCACACCCACACCCCACACCCACCACACCCACACCCTCACACCCACAACCACACCCACACCCCACACCCACCCTTTCGACGCATCGATTTTGACTTCTGCTGGGCATCGAAATTTCAAATCGACCCCTGGGATTGCCATTTTCCGATGGATCGATGGCTCGGCGATAGGTTGTTTTTACTAGCAGTTTTCAACCACTCGAATGATCATTTCCGATGGATCGGAATTTTATTGAAAAAAAGGATTTTTGTCCGATAGATGTCTCAATTTCGAGTTGTCCAAACCCATCGAATATAAGTTTCGAGTCATCGAAACCTATCGAATATATGCGGAGAAGTAGATTTGAACATGGGTACTTACGATGCACTTTCCTCTAACAGTTAATCTAAATATGAACTGTTATTCTCGTATCAAAACGACCTTTTTAATTCATAAGAAGATAATACTTTTTATTTTTCATGCTTCCTAACTTTTAATTTTATTTTTTTTGAAAACTGAAAGTCATATTTTTGGTCCAGAGAGAAAAACTTCGTTTAAACATTAGGAATAATATTTTTCATACAGAAAAAAGATTATTCTTTGAACAATAAAAATAATATTTTTTATCGAGAAAAATTTTATCATGAAAAAAATTTCATCAAGAAAGGAAAACTTTTCATATCTCTATAAGTGACACAAGAACGTTTTGTAATTTAAGACTTCGTATAAATCACTTACTGAATAAATATAACGTGCAATATGTGATGATCAACCAATTTGCACGCGGAATCATGAGATCAATATTTAGTCATTTTTTTAAAATTCACAACGTGAAAATTCATTATTACTATGTCTTAGTTAAAAACACAGGTGAATATTAGTTTTAGTTTC